TCAGCCCCCTGGGGAGTCAGCCCCACAATTTGTACAATTTTGAATCCCTGCATCCCATGAATGCTTTTGATTAAATATGATCGATATCCAGTGCATAGTTCTACAGAAGAAGTCATTTGTAGAAATATAGCCAAATTACCCCTTTTTGGCCCCGCCTCTCAGCCCCCTGGGGGGTCAGCCCAACCATTTGTACAATTTTGAATCTCCACCACCTAGGGATGCTTCCAGTCTAATATGGTTGATATCCATCACTTGGTTCCAGAGAAGAAGTCGCTTAAAGCAGTTTAGCCAAATTGCCCCCTTTTGGCCCCGCCCCTCAGCCCCCTGGGGGGTCAGCCCTACCATTTGTACAATTTTGAATCCCCACCACTTAGGGATGCTTCCAGTCAAATTTAGTTAAATTCCAATCAGTGATTAAGAAGAATAAAGAAATTGTTGACGGACGGACGAGGTGAGCTAAAAATTATACAGTGATGACAGGGGACAATTATTTTAATACTCCATTGTTTCAGAAACCAAAATATTTAGGTACGTACTTGTATAAAACATTTTGATACTTCCCGAAAATTGTTTTGATTTTTTAGAAGATTTTTAGCACTTAGATTGACGTTTCATCTTTGTACTTTAAATGTGTTTTTGTTATGTGTATTACTGACTTCAAATTTTAAAATTCTTCACCATTTTTCAACTTTAAAAAGCAGTACTGAAACATCCTACTCTTCGGTACCAAAACTCTTGGTACCAAACAACTAGGATTCTAAAACAGACAGATCTAGACCACCAGCACATATAACCCTGTTGACATACCTAGACCATCTGCACAAATACCTCTGTTGACATACCTAGACCACCAGCACATATAAACCTGTTGACATATCTAGACCACCAGCACATATAACCCTGTTGACATACCTAGACCATCAGCACAAATAAGTCTGTTGTTATACCTAGACCACCAGCACATATAACCCTGATGACATACCTAGACCACCAGCACATATAACCCTGATGACATACCTAGACCACCAGCACATATAAATCTGTTGACATAACTAGACCACCAGAACATATAACTGTACATACCTAGACCACCAGCACATATAAGTATATTGGCATACCTAGACCACCAGCACATATAAGCCTGTTGACATATCTAGACCACCAGCACATATAACCCTGTTGAGGTACCTAGACCACCAGCACATATAACCCTGATGACATACCTAGACCACCAGCACATATAAGTCTATTGGCACAAATACCTCTGTTGACATACCTAGACCACCAGAACACATAACTGTGACATACCTAGACCACCAGCACATATAACTCTGTTGACGTACCTAGACCACCAGCACATATAACCCTGTTGACGTACCTAGACCACCAGCACATATAACTCTGTTGACATACCTTGACAACCATCACATATAAATATGTTGCATACCTAGACCACCAGCAAATATAAGTCTGTTGACATACCTAGACAACCAGCACATATAAATATGTTGCATCCCTAGACCACCAGCAAATATAAGTCTGTTGACATACCTAGACAACCAGCACAATTAACTCTGTTGATGTACCTAGACCATCAGCACAAATACCTCTGTTGACATACCTAGACCACCATCACATATAAGTCTATTGGCATACCTAGACCACCAGCACATATAAATCTGTTGACATAACTAGACCACCAGAACATATAACTGTGACATCCCTAGACCACCAGCACATATAACTCTGTTGACATACCTTGACAACCATCACATATAAATATGTTGCATACCTAGACCACCAGCAAATATAAGTCTGTTGACATACCTAGACAACCAGCACAATTAACGCGGTTGATGTACCTAGACCATCAGCACAAATACCTCTGTTGACATACCTAGACCACCATCACATATAAGTCTATTGGCATACCTAGACCACCAGCACATATAACTCTGTTGACGTACCTAGACCACCAGCACATATAAGTCTGTTGACATAACTAAACCACCAGCACAAGAAACGCTGTTGATGTACCTAGACCACCAGCACATATAAGCCTGTTGACATATCTAGACCACCAGCACATATACCTCTGTTGATGTACCTAGACCACCAGCACATATAACCCTGTTGAGGTACCTAGACCACCAGCACATATAACTCTGTTAGTCAAATTTAGTTAAATTCCAATCAGTGATTAAGAAGAATAAAGAAATTGTTGACGGACGGACGAGGTGAGCTAAAAATTATACAGTGATGACAGGGGACAATTATTTTAATACTCCATTGTTTCAGAAACCAAAATATTTAGGTACGTACTTGTATAAAACATTTTGATACTTCCCGAAAATTGTTTTGATTTTTTAGAAGATTTTTAGCACTTAGATTGACGTTTCATCTTTGTACTTTAAATGTGTTTTTGTTATGTGTATTACTGACTTCAAATTTTAAAATTCTTCACCATTTTTCAACTTTAAAAAGCAGTACTGAAACATCCTACTCTTCGGTACCAAAACTCTTGGTACCAAACAACTAGGATTCTAAAACAGACAGATCTAGACCACCAGCACATATAACCCTGTTGACATACCTAGACCATCTGCACAAATACCTCTGTTGACATACCTAGACCACCAGCACATATAAACCTGTTGACATATCTAGACCACCAGCACATATAACCCTGTTGACATACCTAGACCATCAGCACAAATACCTCTGTTGACATACCTAGACCACCAGAACATATAACTGTGACATACCTAGACCACCAGCACATATAACTCTGTTGACATACCTTGACAACCAGCACATATAAATATGTTGCATACCTAGACCACCAGCAAATATAAGTCTGTTGACATACCTAGACAACCAGCACAATTAACTCTGTTGATGTACCTAGACCATCAGCACAAATACCTCTGTTGACATACCTAGACCACCAGAACATATAACTGTGACATACCTAGACCACCAGCACATATAACTCTGTTGACATACCTTGACAACCAGCACATATAAATATGTTGCATACCTAGACCACCAGCAAATATAAGTCTGTTGACATACCTAGACAACCAGCACAATTAACTCTGTTGATGTACCTAGACCATCAGCACAAATACCTCTGTTGACATACCTAGACCACCAGAACATATAACTGTGACATACCTAGACCACCAGCACATATAACTCTGTTGACATACCTTGACAACCAGCACATATAAATATGTTGCATACCTAGACCACCAGCAAATATAAGTCTGTTGACATACCTAGACAACCAGCACAATTAACTCTGTTGATGTACCTAGACCATCAGCACAAATACCTCTGTTGACATACCTAGACCACCAGAACATATAACTGTGACATACCTAGACCACCAGCACATATAACTCTGTTGACATACCTTGACAACCAGCACATATAAATATGTTGCATACCTAGACCACCAGCAAATATAAGTCTGTTGACATACCTAGACAACCAGCACAATTAACTCTGTTGATGTACCTAGACCATCAGCACAAATACCTCTGTTGACATACCTAGACCACCAGAACATATAACTGTGACATACCTAGACCACCAGCACATATAACTCTGTTGACATACCTTGACAACCAGCACATATAAATATGTTGCATACCTAGACCACCAGCAAATATAAGTCTGTTGACATACCTAGACAACCAGCACAATTAACTCTGTTGATGTACCTAGACCATCAGCACAAATACCTCTGTTGACATACCTAGACCACCAGAACATATAACTGTGACATACCTAGACCACCAGCACATATAACTCTGTTGACATACCTTGACAACCAGCACATATAAATATGTTGCATACCTAGACCACCAGCAAATATAAGTCTGTTGACATACCTAGACAACCAGCACAATTAACTCTGTTGATGTACCTAGACCATCAGCACAAATACCTCTGTTGACATACCTAGACCACCAGAACATATAACTGTGACATACCTAGACCACCAGCACATATAACTCTGTTGACATACCTTGACAACCAGCACATATAAATATGTTGCATACCTAGACCACCAGCAAATATAAGTCTGTTGACATACCTAGACAACCAGCACAATTAACTCTGTTGATGTACCTAGACCATCAGCACAAATACCTCTGTTGACATACCTAGACCACCAGAACATATAACTGTGACATACCTAGACCACCAGCACATATAACTCTGTTGACATACCTTGACAACCAGCACATATAAATATGTTGCATACCTAGACCACCAGCAAATATAAGTCTGTTGACATACCTAGACAACCAGCACAATTAACTCTGTTGATGTACCTAGACCATCAGCACAAATACCTCTGTTGACATACCTAGACCACCAGAACATATAACTGTGACATACCTAGACCACCAGCACATATAACTCTGTTGACATACCTTGACAACCAGCACATATAAATATGTTGCATACCTAGACCACCAGCAAATATAAGTCTGTTGACATACCTAGACAACCAGCACAATTAACTCTGTTGATGTACCTAGACCATCAGCACAAATACCTCTGTTGACATACCTAGACCACCAGAACATATAACTGTGACATACCTAGACCACCAGCACATATAACTCTGTTGACATACCTTGACAACCAGCACATATAAATATGTTGCATACCTAGACCACCAGCAAATATAAGTCTGTTGACATACCTAGACAACCAGCACAATTAACTCTGTTGATGTACCTAGACCATCAGCACAAATACCTCTGTTGACATACCTAGACCACCAGAACATATAACTGTGACATACCTAGACCACCAGCACATATAACTCTGTTGACATACCTTGACAACCAGCACATATAAATATGTTGCATACCTAGACCACCAGCAAATATAAGTCTGTTGACATACCTAGACAACCAGCACAATTAACTCTGTTGATGTACCTAGACCATCAGCACAAATACCTCTGTTGACATACCTAGACCACCAGAACATATAACTGTGACATACCTAGACCACCAGCACATATAACTCTGTTGACATACCTTGACAACCAGCACATATAAATATGTTGCATACCTAGACCACCAGCAAATATAAGTCTGTTGACATACCTAGACAACCAGCACAATTAACTCTGTTGATGTACCTAGACCATCAGCACAAATACCTCTGTTGACATACCTAGACCACCAGAACATATAACTGTGACATACCTAGACCACCAGCACATATAACTCTGTTGACATACCTTGACAACCAGCACATATAAATATGTTGCATACCTAGACCACCAGCAAATATAAGTCTGTTGACATACCTAGACAACCAGCACAATTAACTCTGTTGATGTACCTAGACCATCAGCACAAATACCTCTGTTGACATACCTAGACCACCAGAACATATAACTGTGACATACCTAGACCACCAGCACATATAACTCTGTTGACATACCTTGACAACCAGCACATATAAATATGTTGCATACCTAGACCACCAGCAAATATAAGTCTGTTGACATACCTAGACAACCAGCACAATTAACTCTGTTGATGTACCTAGACCATCAGCACAAATACCTCTGTTGACATACCTAGACCACCAGAACATATAACTGTGACATACCTAGACCACCAGCACATATAACTCTGTTGACATACCTTGACAACCAGCACATATAAATATGTTGCATACCTAGACCACCAGCAAATATAAGTCTGTTGACATACCTAGACAACCAGCACAATTAACTCTGTTGATGTACCTAGACCATCAGCACAAATACCTCTGTTGACATACCTAGACCACCAGAACATATAACTGTGACATACCTAGACCACCAGCACATATAACTCTGTTGACATACCTTGACAACCAGCACATATAAATATGTTGCATACCTAGACCACCAGCAAATATAAGTCTGTTGACATACCTAGACAACCAGCACAATTAACTCTGTTGATGTACCTAGACCATCAGCACAAATACCTCTGTTGACATACCTAGACCACCAGAACATATAACTGTGACATACCTAGACCACCAGCACATATAACTCTGTTGACATACCTTGACAACCAGCACATATAAATATGTTGCATACCTAGACCACCAGCAAATATAAGTCTGTTGACATACCTAGACAACCAGCACAATTAACTCTGTTGATGTACCTAGACCATCAGCACAAATACCTCTGTTGACATACCTAGACCACCAGAACATATAACTGTGACATACCTAGACCACCAGCACATATAACTCTGTTGACATACCTTGACAACCAGCACATATAAATATGTTGCATACCTAGACCACCAGCAAATATAAGTCTGTTGACATACCTAGACAACCAGCACAATTAACTCTGTTGATGTACCTAGACCATCAGCACAAATACCTCTGTTGACATACCTAGACCACCAGAACATATAACTGTGACATACCTAGACCACCAGCACATATAACTCTGTTGACATACCTTGACAACCAGCACATATAAATATGTTGCATACCTAGACCACCAGCAAATATAAGTCTGTTGACATACCTAGACAACCAGCACAATTAACTCTGTTGATGTACCTAGACCATCAGCACAAATACCTCTGTTGACATACCTAGACCACCAGAACATATAACTGTGACATACCTAGACCACCAGCACATATAACTCTGTTGACATACCTTGACAACCAGCACATATAAATATGTTGCATACCTAGACCACCAGCAAATATAAGTCTGTTGACATACCTAGACAACCAGCACAATTAACTCTGTTGATGTACCTAGACCATCAGCACAAATACCTCTGTTGACATACCTAGACCACCAGAACATATAACTGTGACATACCTAGACCACCAGCACATATAACTCTGTTGACATACCTTGACAACCAGCACATATAAATATGTTGCATACCTAGACCACCAGCAAATATAAGTCTGTTGACATACCTAGACAACCAGCACAATTAACTCTGTTGATGTACCTAGACCATCAGCACAAATACCTCTGTTGACATACCTAGACCACCAGAACATATAACTGTGACATACCTAGACCACCAGCACATATAACTCTGTTGACATACCTTGACAACCAGCACATATAAATATGTTGCATACCTAGACCACCAGCAAATATAAGTCTGTTGACATACCTAGACAACCAGCACAATTAACTCTGTTGATGTACCTAGACCATCAGCACAAATACCTCTGTTGACATACCTAGACCACCAGAACATATAACTGTGACATACCTAGACCACCAGCACATATAACTCTGTTGACATACCTTGACAACCAGCACATATAAATATGTTGCATACCTAGACCACCAGCAAATATAAGTCTGTTGACATACCTAGACAACCAGCACAATTAACTCTGTTGATGTACCTAGACCATCAGCACAAATACCTCTGTTGACATACCTAGACNCCTGTCGACGTACCTAGACCACCAGCACATATAACTCTGTTGACATACCTAGACCACCAGCACATATAAGTCTATTGACATACCTAGACCACCTGTACATATAAGACTGCTGACATACCTAGACCACCAGCACATATAACTCTGCTGACATACCTAGACCACCAGCACATATAACTCTGTTGACATACCTAGACCACCAGCACATATAAGTCTGTTGACATACCTAGACCACCAGCACATATAACCCTGTTGACGTTCCTAGACCACCAGCACATATAACTCTGTTGACATACCTAGACCACCAACATATATAACTGTTGACATACCTAGACCACCAGCACATATAATTCTGGTGCCGACCACTCCAACAGCAAAATCTCCTCGCTTTATCTTCATGTCAGGAGCTCCTTCCCATTGTTCTGTAAACAAAAGGAACATAAAACTCTTTTCTGGTGTATATAAATTAAAGACTTACATACAGAATGGAATCACATATTTTTTATTTACTACAATGATATACATTTCATTACAGAAGCGCTGGGATGTAGCACTTTAGTATGGAAAGATTGCAATAGCAGTAATTACTTTTATCAGTTGTAAAATAGCATAATTTCACTTTACATTATTTTAAAGTCTAAACTGATGCATAATGTTTAAATGCAAAATAGATATACATGTACAACATTCCAAGACAAAAAATGATATTTAATGTGCCATTAAAAATTAATATAAAATGTTAACAGGCATATTGATTTATCCTGGTATAATGTTCCAAGGCAAAATGGATATAAAATGTTCTAAGGCAAAACTGATACATTTCCCATACGGCAAAATTGTTATATAATATACAAACTGATACATAATGTTCGCAGGTACTACCAACATAGAAAACAAAGCAGCAAAGTCAACTGACTCAGTTTTCTTCAATATCAACCTATACAGTGTGTTGTAGCGTGAACCACAATACACTGAACCCAGACCTAATAAAGTAAGGGATGATTTGTGAGGAGAATGGGATCAGACTTAATCCCTACAGAGGGTCCAGTAACGTATAACCTACTTGTTTCTGTGTTGAAAAGTTCCATGGCACTGGAGAAGCCCAGGGTGGCAGGTTGGTTGAGACCCCCTATACTGAAGATGTACTTGTCAGCGGCCGCATACATAGCAAATACTCGTTTGGTCATCCCCGGGATGTTAGCAAGCTGTTCCCACTTATTCTGCTCGAAATCGTAACACTCAAAGGCTGCACTTGGAATTTTTCCTTGTCGTCCTCCTGTTACAATGAAAGATTACACAATGATAACACTACCTTAATAGCTTTCCTACTTTCAATTACTGGTACTCCTCACTCATTTGATTGTATTTCAGAATATTGTGCTTTAGAATCTTGTGATTTGAAATGAAAGTAAATGAAAGTAACAAGTTTAATATAAGTACAGCTATTACATCTTTGATTTGACCACAGGTGACCATTATATGCTGTAGTTAAACTCATTCACCCCTGAAATTGTATAATGAACTATTCCATCCTTTGAGTTGGAAGAGTTTAAATGTGTCTTCAGGGGTGAATGAGTTGACTGGAGTGTGGTGTATTACCTGGTACATCTAATCATAAATGTATTCATGCAAGTATAAAAGAAAATTAAATTACCAATCACATATAATTTTCCATTAACAATGAATGAAAATGTAGCGTATCGTGGTACATTCATCCTGGCGTAATTCTTCCAGACGTTTCTCTCTACGTCATAGCTGAGCAGGCTATCGCTGGGGTTAGTATCGTCCGACATCCCACCGACCACATACACCAGATCATCTGTAGATTCAAGATTTATACATATTATTCAGTCAATTTCACAAATGCAATGATCAGATTTATACATTTTTCGTTTTTTTCATTTTTTAATGATTGACTTTATGCACTTTCTTTAACCATTATACTGTAATCATTTGATTTATATATGTATGTTCCTGTAAGAATTATCTCTGAAATGGATGTCTTAAAAGCTATCTTGTTTTGATGTACACATACATACATGTATATGCCCCAGACAACATTTTTCAAAAGTTAAGGTAAAAGGTCAAGGTCAAAGTATAGGTTAAAGTGACCTAATCATTGTACACTGCACTTTGAAATTTGCCATCCCAAGATGTACTTCCACACCAAATCTGGTCACACCAGGTAAAACAGTATAGAAGATATGCCCTGGACAAACTTTTCAGATAGACAGAACCAGTCAAACGTTTCAGAGGGACGGAACCAGTGGGGGATTGATAGTCGAGTTAACTATACAACTTTTCAATACCTTTGATGACCAGTGATAATCCTAGGAGGGGATTCACAAGGGACTCCATTTTACTCCACTGTTTGCTTGCTATAGAATACACTTCTACAGCGTCGACTGCACTCTGTGATATGCCTACACCTCCTATGGCTATGATTTTGTCCTTTACCACTCCACAGGCTGGGGCAGCACGTTTCGTAGGCATATTGTTTAGAGCATTCCACTTTCTCTTTGCTGCATTGTAATGCTCACACGAGTCTAAAGGCTCCCCTTTCTCGTCACAACCCCCTATTATGTAAAGTTCGTTATTGTGCAGCACTGGAGTAGCAAACACTCGAGGATTCATCATCATTTTAAGTGTCTCCCATTTGTAGCTGCCACCTGTAGCCCCAACAGGTGTTGAAGCAATAATAGGTAATTTTACTCCATAAACTACTTCCTTCTTTCCTTTCTTTTTATGTTTAACTTTGTTCTTGGTTCCATTTTCTATTGGAGCTGCCTCTGCACCTCCTGTAGCAGCATCTCCTTCACTAGGTCCTGCCTTCACAGTCTCTTCCTTATCTAGGATTTTGTCCTCCTCCTCGGGGGTTTTGTTCTCCACCGATTCACTCACCTTTGCATCTCCTTCCGACATGGTGCTGTCACCTGTTTCATTGACAAAAGGTGAAAAAATATTTATTTGAAAGTAACAACAATAACTGGTACATAGTTCTACAAGCAAAATCTTCCTTAATTCCAGTTACCAAGCTTCAAGGTAATTAATATGTGCTCATATGATAGGTAATTGGTGATTTTTTTTTATATAACTCACAGAAACATTGATATAATTGACATTAAAAGCTAGCTCACGCCCTCCCGACACACTGACAACTTTCAATGCTTAAATGTTATCCTTCTAATATGGAAGCATCCTTGAAAAACAATTGCTGGAGCCCAAATCTGCAACCCTAGGATGCTCATCTCTTGAAACATAATGCACTGTATGAATTGGTAACATTCCTTCGATAGTTTGGTACTTACAAGATATTCAATTTGATACAGAAAATGCAACAATTAAATAATGTTGATATAAAAAATGCAACAATTAAATAACTTGGCATTCAACCAAGTTAACAGGAATTGCGTCATTCGTTTCATTGACTCACCTGTCTGTAAATCATAGCTAGGACATCAATGGAAAGCCTCAAGGCTTATAGTAATGTTTCAATATAAGTATTTCATATTGATATTGATAAAGTGTGCTCTCCAAAGTTACTACCAATTGTCTGGACATCTGATCCGTCGCATACCATACTGACAAGACATATTTAAATGATTGATAATATTTGAGGAGGTCCATTCAATGAGCATACAGCTTCTCCTTGAAGCTGATTAGCCAATCTAATCCAGCTTCTGATGCAGGAGGTTTACCATTCAAGCATCCAGAGCTGGCTGGACTTACCAGCTTGTAGCTATAGGCCAAAATTTAGCCCATTATTTTAAAAAAAAACGCAGTTATTTTGGTCTTACCAGCTTGGTGCTCCATTTGGTTTTTTTTCATGTGCTGAAGATAATTTTGCTGCGATAACGTAGCTATTGACGACGAGAGATTTTTTTTATATATCGCATCCGGGGCAGAGGAGGCCATGTATTAATATTAGTACTAAAGACAATTGTGACCACTTGTGAAACATGTGTTTATATTTGTCACATATACGGTCGGATTACTGGTACTAGCCTCGTCTGTCAATACACCTACAGTATAGGTTTATTTACAGACCAGCCTAGTACCTGTGGTCAAGCAACACCTGTGCTAATTAGGGACAACAAGTAACACTCCGACAACTTGTATCTTTCTCAAACATGTATTTTGTTACAATTGATTTGAGAACATAATCTGATTGCCACGGAATTAGGTCACCGATAACGAGATATCTTAAATTAATAAGAAGCAATTTCGTCCACATGCATTTCGTACTAACGAAATGCAATCTTACGAAATGTCTATTTCTGGGAGTTGCTTCACATGGCGACCACATTGACCATGGCCATGGGTTATGCTTACAGTGAAAGATCATTCAGGAAGAGTATTCTGCTACTGTAACCGCTTTGCAATACCTACGACTGACAAAAATTGAACTCTTACCGATCTGTCATATATATGACCAAAGGATAGAAGGCGTCGGTTGCTTAGATGTTGACAAGCACCGCTTCCTATTAAATGAAAGGGCGCCCCCTTGGAAAATGAAAGACAATTCGTCACAAAAGATGTGTGTATTGCTTTAAGTCATCATGTGAGTAATAAGTGAAATTCAAACTTGGTTTTGTGATAAACTATGTTATTTCATAGATTTTGTCTGCAAATATTTGCCATACTATCTGTGACAATTGAAACATAGATTAGGGAAACACTTGGTAAACAATATTTTGGGCCGAATCTGTAGCAAAGGACGGCAACTCTATAGGCAATGCTTTTAAAGGTATCGCACCACAATTGATGTCGTGATAGCGGTTTATAGCGTTTAATCCTCTGTGTTCTAATAGGGACGTGTTCAACTGTCGGCGCCAGCAGCGTCGGGGGGTATGATAATCGTATACAGTGACGTTCCATACGCCTTTCACCGTTACATCATTTTCTTACTATATATATGTTCTTTTTTTTGTTATTACAATACATTTTACTGACTTCGTTTTTTGTCCAACTTTGAAAGTTTTTGCAGTGCTTTCATAAGTTACTTTTTACAGCATTCCCATAGACACAATGAGAAATTTTGCCGTAAAACTATTTTGATCAATTAACTATTATGTTTAAATTCTAACTGAGAAACGAGTCAGTAATGAATACATATTACAGACAGGAGGGCTGGATACTTTTATAGTTGTATGCCAAGTTTCATCACATGGGACGAAAATAAAGTTTAAAAAAATCTACTCAAAAGAAAATTAACAAACACCTTATATTAACATTTCCACTGCAAGTTCCTCGATAAGTATTACCAGGAGAACTTGCGTCAAGTCACAGGGCTATGATTAACGCAATTGGATCAGCGTCACTCTGCAGCTTCTTCTCCCGCCTCGAATAACATGAGACAACCTGTAGAAGCAAACATTTTGATGACATTAGGCTGTTCCAGGAATCTCGTTTGCACTGACGACACGAGAAGATACAAGAATTTTATTTATAGTCGTATATATGAAAACAGAAACATTAGCTCTGAAGAGCTATTATTACGACAAAGCATAAGAAAAAATATCATAGCAAAGTAACAAAGATATAAAACAACTATTGCTAAGTATGAGAGAATTGATTAAACATATTAATTAAAAGTACGTAGATAAGAGCAAGCACAAATCTCATGCGAAAATGTTGGGTGACTATAATCCGAATTATTCTGACGTTTTATCGACTTTTTTCATATCGGTCTGTCGTCGACTAACCACGTTAACCGACGACAGACCGAAAAAAGTCGATAAAACGTCAGAATAATTCGGACTAGTGACTAAAAGCACATGGCTATATATATATATATATATCTATCCGCCTGAAGAAGCCCTAGAAGGCAGAAAGGCCTAGCGGACGATCTGAAAAAATTGTTTTTATTCTATATATATATATATATATATATATATGATAATATAGCAAAGTGTAAAAAATGACCGAATAAGCACTAATATAGTACCATCTAAAATACATACAGAGTGTATGGAGCATGGTAAAGGTATAGTAAAAATAAAGTTAAGAGGATAATTAAAACATAAGATGACGATAAGGCATTTCTAGTTGTTATACAGCAAGTAAGCACTACATAGCGAATTATATAACAAACACATTATGTAACAAATTAAGCACTACACGCAAATTATATAAACAAACAAAAACACTAGCAGCTTGCCATCACATTAACAAATAGCACTACACACAAGTAACATAGCGACAGAGCACAGCAAGCAAAGCACATGTCTTCAAAGCATTTCCAGCAAACTACACACAAGTAACATAGCGACAGAGCACAGCAAGCAATCACATGTCCTCAAAGCATTACCAGCAAACTACACAACAAGAAAACGCACTAAAAGGTAATATAACTGGCAAGTAATGTCAGCAAAGCATATGACATGCAAATCATCTCAAGCACGCTACACAACAAGCAAGCACCATAGCGAAATTATAAAACAACTTGTAGTTTGACATAAACACATCAATATCGAAAATATAGGTGAATATCTGTATTTAGGTAAATAATAACTTAAAATTTAGAATGTAAATATAAGGATTGAACGGCATTTTCTCTGTGTGTAGAGAACGTAAGTGAGTGTAACCCTTGGAGTATCGAGGCTCGGGAAACATGATTATCTCGGGGAAACGACTCTTCAGGTCTCCCTCGCACCAGGGCAATAAGTATATGACGTGGATGGAACCGAAGGGGTGTAAAATCAACGAAGAATGGTACCACAATTTAACAGTTCCTATCGGTATACATTTTACAGCATGAGATAGTTAAATAGGCGGGGTATATGTACCATTAGCCTCGTGCGAGCTTGTGACATGCCGCCTCGTGTGAGCGTATCATGACGTGCGAGCTTGTGACATGACGTGCGAGCTTGTGACATGCCGCCTCCTGCGAGCGTACATGCTTGCTTGTGACATGCCGCCTCGCCCGAGAGTACGTGCTTGCTTGTGACATGCCGCCTCGCCCGAGCGTACGTGTGAGCTTGTGACATGCCGCCTCGTGCGAGCGTACGTGTGAGCTTGTGACATCCCGCCTCGTGCGAGCGTTCGTGCGAGCTTGTGACGTGCCGCCTCGTCCGAGCGTACGTGCGAGCTTGTGACATGCCGCCTCGTGCGAGCGTACGTGCGAGCTTGTGACATGCTGGGTGTGGTTTCCAGACCTGGATCATCCACTGCTTCTTGGATGGGCATCAAACTTTGTATGCTATTGGTACATCATCGGAAGGCGGTGTGTTGCATCCTAAAACGAGGTCACTGTGACTTGAATTTGATCTTAACCTCAATTCCTAAAAACATGGTTTTCGGAGCATATCTCAGGTGTAGTCCGAATTATTCTGACGTTTTATCGACTTTTTTTTTTAAATATCGGTCTGTCGTCGATTAACTATAATCGACGATAAATCGACGACAGACCGATATAAAAAAAGTCGAGAAAACGTCAGGGGTGGCGGTATAAGAGTATTAGCAAAACGCTGATATCAGAATATTGCCGAGCGCTGATATAAGAGGGTTGCCGAGCAGCGTTTTTTATTTCCTGTGTTACACATCTGCAACATACGTGGATTTACAAACAGTATATAATACAAAAAATATATGGTTCCACCGGAATGTATATCGGTATACATATTTCATATTCTGAGTCTCTTTATAAATATCGAGCAGACTTTTATCAATTATCTTTTTGAATAACCTTTCTGTGACGTTAATGAAATCAAATATATTTAAATACACGTGAGGGTTTTACCAGTCTTATCGCATAGCAGAGCTTTTTAGGGCACTTATCTCAAAACGTCTCGTAGAATGAAGCCAACATTTTTTCACGAAGGTTGTGAAGATATGTAGATCAGATCGCCTACTTGGATCCGGCCATGACCGATGGCAGGCAGTGGTTATCCAAGGTTTAAAAAAAAAAAAAATCTTTGATAATTTACTTTGCGTAGTTTCACTCTTATCTAGGCCCCCTAAACCAGAATTATTTTACTCAATCATATCTCATTATTTTTTAAGTATTTAAATGTGTGCCTTCCTAAAGGCTCTCGTGATATTTCAAAAGAAATTTAATGAAATTAATCTATTACCTATGTCAATTACATCACGTGTGTCAATTCTGTGGTTTTATTAGGAATGTAGTTTCTTATGTGATATATCAAAAGGTGAAAATATACTTTGTATGCATATATATTATGTATGTAGCTTTTACCTGAATGTACGTAATAATGCATAAATCATACAACGACATCAACTGGAGACTGTTTGTAAGTTATTGCTTTAAATTATACTATAAAGCTACATTTATCCACCCCATTCATATATGCTTTCGATATTGTACGGTAAAGACCTAAGAAAGGTTTGTAGAACTACACAGAGAGCTATTTGTTTATTTCGGGGATCTTTAGTTAAATTAAACACATAATATGGGACATATATTCGTAAATTTTAATATGAATTGTAAAATACAAACAATAAAGGGCGGTATGTTTAAGATATGTTCAACTTTTACAAAAATAAGTGCAGTTCATTTAAAAAAATACTGTGTATGAATTATCTCCCCTGAAACCCGCATTGGTTCCAGTGGGTGATCTCGGAACCGGGCCTGGCAGATTTCAGACGAGAAGGAAAGCGACTGGTGGAGTCATGACCGGCTAAACCAACAACGAATCCGTTCGACACTCCGGCCGTGGTAAGTATCAGTCGGAACGGATACTGATAGCCCTTAGACAACTTCCTGACAGAAGTAGAGTTTTGCGTGCCCCGCCCACAGGTTGTTGATGGTCCGTCAGACACGCTCCTGACCTGTCTGACCCGGCCCCTCCGGCCCGAATGACGTCACTTCGATCCGTGGACACCACGGATACATACGAATCTTTGATGGAATTTCTCCACACTGACCCCTGCTATTATAAATTGTACTTCAAAAGATTTTTTCGAAAGTTTAAAAGTTTAAATTTCAATCGTCCGTTCCAATTTGCATAACTCGTTCCGCATGTCAGCATGCTGAGATCTGCTGATACCGTGTTTACCACTAGGCTAGGCCTGTGTAGGTGGTCACACTAGGCTGTCATAATATGTTTAGCCCACTTGTGCATACCTGACAACTTCTGAAGGTCCCATATTTGGTCATGACCAGGCGATATTCACTGTAATATTTGGTCATAATCAATGCATTGAACAACATTTAAAGGTGTCCTGAACAGCACGAAATATTTATGTTACAGAATCAGACTATTTATATGTAAGTAAAAATATTAATCATTGGTGATATTATGATTCTAATATAGTAAATGTGACTTAACATCGTGAGAATTAATGCCAATTTTATGTAAAAATATCACAATATCCATTTTAATTTTTTATTTATGTCTGCAATCAGCATGGTCGTTAGGCTGCCGCTCCTGTAAAGACAATGACCAGATCGCCTGATTATTAGTTGATCATAAGCTAGCATAGAAAAGTCACAGAGAAACAATTGTTTGATCATGAAATTTCAACTGATCCCCAACCCTAAAAGTAATCTTATTACCTTTGATATGCTTAAAATAATAGGTGTAACATGTGATCAGTCAAATGTAGGACAGGATTAGATAGTTTTCTGTTGTCTGGATGTGTACCGTCAATACAGCTACAACATTACCTTTAAATATTTCCTTAATGGAATATGTCGTATAAATAAAATGGTATTGTTTTTTCCAAACTAGCTACTTATTATGGTCCTAACTTATTTTAAAGTCTGAAACTGGTTTTGTTATTATCAGCAGTTATAACTTTCAGTCCTTGATACAGGCAAAATAACCATAACTCTATACAATGTATATATCTTTTTAATAGTGAATGAACCTGTTTTTTTTCAAAATATATACAGTGAAAAATAAACATGCAGATCTAGACTTGCTATATTTGAATCAAGCTTAAAAAAAATGAAAGAAATTTATTCACAGAAAATGTCAAAGCACAAAAATGAAAAATACATTATGAGCATTAAAATGTCAGAGCAGACAACAGAATGTACCACTGAGGGGGTTTACAGATACAGTGTAGTGTCGAGTATAGAAAATACCAGTCAAACTGAATCATAAAATGTACATAACATTGAGAATGTACACAGCATAAATACAAGTAATCCTGTAGGATTAACTTCACACTTGCATATCATGCATACTTGTATATAAATATGTATACCCCTTAGTTTATGTATAAATATGGAGATATGTATCCATAGTTTATATATAAATATACATAGGGAGTTATTTACCCCTATTTTATGTATAAATAGGCAGATGTGTGTCCATAGTTAAAATATATAGATAAATATGGAGATATGTGCTGCAACTATACTAGTTTTGGGATCTAGCTGTGTACTCGTACAGATACAGATGTGTCGCTAGTTTTTATATATAAATAGGGAGTTATATATCCACACTTGATATCAATATGAATAAGGAGTTATAGTACCCCTAATGTATGTACAAGTTTAAATAGGGAGTTGTATACCTGGGTTATGCATAATTCCAGGTATATGTATTAGAACTGGTCTGGGTAGATCACCGGTGGAGAGGTAGCTCAAATGGTTAGAGTGTTGGTCCTGAGTTGGGAGACCTGGGTTCGAATCACGGTCTGGCCGTGCATTTTCATCACCTGTTGCATATAAATGGAGTTTTATATACCCTTACTTAATGTACGAGTATAAAAAGGGTTTTATGTACCACTAGTTTATGTATAAATAAGGAGTTATATACCTCTTGTTCATGCAATAGTTTTATACGAGTCTGTGAGTCACATATTTTCAGGCAGGATTATCCCCTCAGCACACTGTGCATGTATTATATACAATCTTACAAGCACAGTCACCACATACATGTTAGCTGTACATGTATAAGGTATGTACAGAGGCTGATGAATGGTGTAGGTGACCAGACTAAGGTTAGCTTTGTTTACCTAGTGGCTGTGACCCTAGGCACTATGGTTGTCCAGGGGATGAGGGTGCAGCCAGTTGGTATGACATCATCAGACATTGATACAGGGCTGATGTAGATGTCTGCGGGCACCTTGTCGGTCCAGAACAGTCTGTCACGTCTTAGGTGTAGGATCTACAGCTTCTAACTTTAAAACCAAACATGGATTCTCCTGCTGAAAAAGACTCCAATTCAACAGACTCGTCGTAAGTAATATGCATGGATCGAAACAAATAACACTTCATCATTTACTGTAGTATCCAGCTAGTAATTATACATATAATGGTCTTAGGTCATTCTTTTCAAATTACTCGTAAATGGAATTAAATTTAATGCATATTAAATCTTACAATGCATTTTATAACTGAGGTGTAGCATAGCTGGCACTGACAAGGTACCTCAGTTGATTAGAACATCTGTCAAGAGTTGGAGAGCCCGGGTTTGAATCTCGGTCCAGCTTGGGCTTTGTTTTTTTTTGTTCTCCTGTAACTCAAGTAACGGTAAGTGGATAACCAAACCTGGGTTGTATGTAAATCTTATCTATGGAGGGTGAAGACTTAGAAAAAGGAGGAATAAGTGTAGCAAACTGGGCCGGTTTAATTCTGGTGACCTGGAATTAGTTCCAATGACTAGAACATCCATCTTTAATTTGGAGGTCCAGGGTTCCAATCCTAGTCTGACCCTGTTGTATTTCCTTCTTCTATTGCAAGTATAATAGCATGGTTATTGATACAGAACACTGTGAAACTACTAACCACACTTTACAGTATTACATATGGTGTTAACTATGAGTTATATATAATAGGTCAATTGTACATAAATGTATATCATTCAATGCACTATGATGCCTGTTTATTGTACATAGTGTATTATCATTGTTTACGGTATATTTAACATGTATACTACTCATTTTGTACAAAGTCCTAATTACGGCCACAAGAGTATTTTGTATAAATGAGAAAATGTTCTAATGGATAGGATCTCATAGCAAAAGTTTGCACTGAAAACTAAAAATGAAAAGTTACTAAATAAATCCTGGAAATTAACAATATCTTCATCATTGATATAAAGGACAGTGAGATTGAAAGACCTAGACAGGTTGAGAGTAGCACAATTAAAACTGGCCAAATATATATCCTATAACAGCAATGTATTTTATTAAAAAACAACAACAATATGCCAGTTTGCTACTGACAAGCAGAATAAGGTAATAAAAGCGTTAAGATTTGGTGGTCTTAGGTATATGACATCTATGTCAGGTTTCTTGAAACTACCAATGATAACCAGACACCTCTAACATGCTTAAACCTGAAATATAATCTGGTCATTTCACTAAGAATATTTATTACATATGACTCGGTTTATTTTATATGAAGCATTTTGTCCTTTCAATCCAGCCAAGTCTGTCAGGACAAAATGTGACGGTATACAATAGGGATACATACCAGAGAACGACATATAGCTACAGTACAATACATCACACACAAATTGCTCAATTGACCATTTTAAAAGGATAACCTGACATTTAAGTAGGATTGATAATGCGCTGTTATATACCATTTTAAATGCCCCTGATAAAATTCCTGTTGAAGCTATTGTGTGTTTTGTTAGATCATAGTAAACTTTTCATACTGTTGTTAAAGTAGCCACTGTTACTACTGAACGTTTCATACTGTTGTTAAGGTAGCCACTGTTCCTACTGAACTTGTCATACCGTTGTTAAGGTAGCCACTATTACTACTGAACTTTTCATACTGTTGTTAAGGTAGCCAATGTTTCTTCTGAATGTTTCATACTGTTGTTAAGGTAGCCACTGTTACTACTGAACATTTCATACTGTTGTTAAGGTAGCCACTGTTATTACTGAACTTGTCATACCGTTGTTAAGGTAGCCACTATTACTACTGAACTTTTCATACTGTTGTTAAGGTAGCCAATGTTTCTTCTGAATGTTTCATACTGTTGTTAAGGTAGCCACTGTTTCTACTGAACGTTTCATACCGTTGTTAAGGTAGCCATTGTTACTACTGAATGTTTCATACTGTTGTTAAGGTAGCCACTGTTTCTAATGAACGTTTCATACCGTTGTTAAGGTAGCCACTGTTACTACTGAATGTTTCATACTGTTGTTAAGGTAGCCACTGTTTCTACTGAACGTTTCATACCGTTGTTAAGGTAGCCACTGTTCCTACTGAACGTGTCATACTGTTGTTAAGGTAGCCACTGTTACTACTGAACTTTTCATACTGTTGTTAAGGTAGCCACTGTTACTACTGAACTTGTCATACCGTTGTTAAGGTAGCCACTGTTACTACTGAACGTTTCATACTGTTGTTAAGGTAGCCACTGTTCCTACTGAACTTTTCATACTGTTGTTAATGTAGCCATTGTTACTACTGAACTTGTCATACTGTTGTTAAGGTAGCCACTGTTACTTCTGAACTTTTCATACTGTTGTTAAGGTAGCCAGTGTTCCTACTGAACTTGTCATATCGTTGTTAAGGTAGCCACTATTACTACTGAACGTTTCATACTGTTGTTAAGGTAGCCACTGTTCTTACTGAACTTGTCATACCGTTGTTAAGGTAGCCACTGTTCCTACTGAACTTTTCATACCGTTGTTAAGGTAGCCACTGTTACTACTGACCTTGTCATACCGTTGTTAAGGTAGCCACTGTTACTACTGACCTTGTCATACCGTTGTTAAGGAAGCCAGTGTTACTACTGAACTTTTCATACTGTTGTTAAGGTAGCCACTGTTACTACCGAACTTGTCATACCGTTGTTAAGGTAGCCAGGGTTACTACTGAACTTTTCATACCGTTGTTAAGGTAGCCACTGTTTCTACTGAACGTTTCATACCGTTGTTAAGGTAGCCAATGTTACTACTGAACGTTTCATACTGTTGTTAAGGTAGGCACTGTTACTACTGAACTTGTCATACCGTTGTTAAGGAAGCCAGTGTTACTACTGAACTTTTCATACTGTTGTTAAGGTAGCCAGTGTTCCTACTGCACTTGTCATATCGTTGTTAAGGTAGCCACTATTACTACTGTGCGTTTCATACTGTTGTTAAGGTAGCCACTGTTACTAATGAACTTGTCATACTGTTGTTAAGGTAGCCACTGTTCCTACTGACCTTTCATACTGTTGTTAAGGTAGCCACTGTTACTAGTGAACTTGTCATACTGTTGTTAAGGTAGCCACTATTACTACTGAACGTTTCATACTGTTGTTAAGGTAGCAACTGTTACTACTGAACTTGTCATACCGTTGTTAAGTTAGCCACTGTTACTACTGAACGTTTCATACCGTTGTTAAGGTAGCCATTGTTACTACTGAATGTTTCATACTGTTGTTAAGGTAGCCACTGTTCTTACTGACCTTGTCATACCGTTGTTAAGGTAGCCACTGTTACTACTGAACGTGTCATACCATTGTTAAGGTAGCCAATGTTACTACCGAACGTTTCATACTGTTGTTAAGGTAGCCACTGTTCCCTGTTACTACTGAACTTGTCATACTGTTGTTAAGGGAGCCACTGTTACTACTGAACTTGTCATACTGTTGTTAAGGGAGCCACTGTTACTACTGAACTTGTCATACTGTTGTTAAGGGAGCCACTGTTACTACTGAACTTGTCATACTGTTGTTAAGGTAGCCAGTGTTACTACTGAACGTTTCATACTGTTGTTAAGGTAGCCACTGTTACTACTGAACATTTCATACTGTTGTTAAGGTAGCCACTGTTCCCTGTTACTACTGAACTTGTCATACTGTTGTTAAGGTAGCCACTGTTACTAGTGAACTTGTCATACTGTTGTTAAGGTAGCCACTCTTACTACTGAACTTGTCATACCATTGTTAAGGTAGCCAATGTTACTACCGAACGTTTCATACTGTTGTTAAGGTAGCCACTGTTCCCTGTTACTACTGAACTTGTCATACTGTTGTTAAGGTAGCCACTGTTACTACTGAATGTTTCATACTGTTGTTAAGGTAGCCACTGTTCTTACTGAACTTGTCATACCGTTGTTAAGGTAGCCACTGTTCCTACTGAACTTGTCATACCGTTGTTAAGGTAGCCAGGGTTACTACTGAACTTTTCATACCGTTGTTAAGGTAGCCACTGTTCCTACTGAACGTTTCATACTGTTGTTAAGGTACCCACTGTTACTACTGAACTTGTCATACCGTTCTTAAGGTAGCCAGTGTTACTACTGAACTTTTCATACTGTTGTTAAGGTAGCCAGTGTTCCTACTGAACTTTTCATACTGTTGTTAAGGTAGCCACTGTTACTACTGAACTTGTCATACCATTGTTAAGGTAGCCAATGTTACTACTGAACGTTTCATACTGTTGTTAAGGTAGCCACTGTGACTACTGAACTTGTCATACTGTTGTTAAGTTAGCCACTGTTACTACTGAACTTGTAATACCGTTGTTAAGGTAGCCAGTGTTACTACTGACCTTTTCATACCGTTGTTAAGGTAGCCACTGTTTCTACTGAACGTTTCATACCGTTGTTAAGGTAGCCAATGTTACTACCGAACGTTTCATACTGTTGTTAAGGTAGGCACTGTTACTACTGAACTTGTCATAGTGTTGTTAAGGTAGCCACTGTTACTAATGAACTTGTCATACCGTTGTTAAGGCAGCCAGTGTTACTACTGAACTTTTCATCCCGTTGTTAAGGTAGCCACTGTTACTAATGAACTTGTCATACCGTTGTTAAGGAAGCCACTGTTACTACTGAACTTGTCATCCCGTTGTTAAGGTAGCCACTGTTACTACAGAACTTGTCATACCGTTGTTAAGGTAGCCCCTGTTACTACTGAACTTGTCATACTGTTGTTAGGGTAGCCACTGTTACTACTGAACGTTTCATACCGTTGTCAAGGTAGCCAATGTTACTACTGAACGTTTCATACCGTTGTTAAGGTAGCCACTGTTTCTACTGAACTTGTCATACTGTTGTTAGGGTAGCCACTGTTACTACTGAACGTGTCATACCATTGTTAAGGTAGCCAATGTTACTACTGAACGTTTCATACCGTTGTTAAGGTAGCCACTGTTTCTACTGAACGTTTCATACCGTTGTTAAGGTAGCCACTATTAATACTGAACTTGTCATGCTGTTGTTAAGGTAGCCACTGTTACTTCTGAACTTGCCATACTGTTGTTAAGGTAGCCACTGTGACTACTGAACTTGTCATACTGTTGTTAGGGTAGCCACTGTTACTACTGAACGTTCCATACCGTTGTTAAGGTAGCCACTGTTACTACCGAACTTGTCATACCGTTGTTAAGGTTGAACTTTTCATACTGTTGTTAAGGTAGCCACATACTGTTGTTAAGGTAGCCAGTGTTCCTACTGAACTTTTCATACTGTTGTTAAGGTAGCCACATACTGTTGTTAAGGTAGCCAGTGTTACTGCTGAACTTGTCATACTGTTGTTAAGTTAGCCACTGTTACTACTGAACGTTTCATACTGTTTTTAAGGTAGCCACTGTTACTACTGACCTTGTCATACCGTTGTTAAGGTAGCCCCTGTTACTACTGAACTTGTCATACTGAACTTGTCATACCGTTGTTAAGGAAGCCACTGTTACTACTGAACTTGTCATACAATTGTTAAGGTAGCCAATGTTACTACTGAACGTTTCATACCGTTGTCAAGGTAGCCAATGTTACTACTGAACTTTTCATACCGTTGTTAAGGTAGCCACTATTAATACTGAACTTGTCATGCTGTTGTTAAGGTAGCCAGTGTTACGACTGAACTTGTCATACTGTTGTTAAGTTAGCCACTGTTACTACTGAATGTTTCATTCTGTTGTTAAGGTAGCCACTGTTACTACTGAACTTGTCATACTGTTGTTAAGGTAGCCACTGTTCCTTCTGAACTTGCCATACTGTTGTTAAGGTAGCCACTGTTACTACTGAACTTGTCATACTGTTGTTAAGGTAGCCACTGTTACTACTGAACTTGTCATACTGTTGTTAAGGTAGCCACTGTTACTGCTGGGAAATAATTGGCATCATATTTTTAGAATATATATCAAAAGTTATTAACAATACTTTATAAAAGTTTTAGTAGATTTATTGGAGAGGCTCTGAATAGGCAAAAGTCATGTGATGAGTTGTATTTGTTGACATTCCTCTCCTCTGAACAAAATCTGAATAAAAAAGAGAAGTTCAAAGTTCATAGTTTGTGAACTTTTTTGTTTCAACTTTGAAAACTAGAAGAAACTCAGTTAATACACAAAACAATATATACTTGACGACTAGAGAAAATATAGCATCAGCCTTTATGACACACATAAGAACAGTATGATACTGAGGAGTTGATTATTTTGGTCATTTGTACTTAATGGAAAAACGTTTGTGTGTCCAAATAATACGACAACGATCAGTATTGCATGTATAAGTAACGATTGTAGTATACAGTCCGTCATTGTTAAGGTGATGACTGGTTACAGAGTGAGTCACAGAAACTTGCCCCGAGTCACTCACTGGTCATCAGGTGGACCATGTATACCTGTCACTTTCTGGTATAGGAGCCGTGTACTGTTAGCATACTGTAAAACAAGATGGAATATTGTAAAAATGTCTTGTCAACTACATGAATTTACACAAATATAACGATCACTAATGTTTTATTAATTGAAAGAAATACATCACTGGTTGCAAATTTAAAAATTAAAATAAATTAAATTTAACATCTTTCTGACCTAGGTTTCCCTTGTCCTTGCTTTGTCCCACATGTCTTGTCCTTTGTCTTTTGTATGCATTTAATTTTTGTCTGTATACCTAATGTCACGAATACCATTTATTTATTAATTTATTTATATAATAATTTGTGTGGGTATGTAATTGTAAGTGTAGGTGTGTCCGTGTGAATTCTTTTTTGTCTCTGTATATAGGTACATGCTTGATAAATATTTATTCATAGTGAATTAATTAGCAACAACTCTTAAGCTTTAAGAGCTTAACCAACAATCATGTACCATATGTGTCGTATCATGTCATGTAAAAAAATTGAAAATTAATAAAAAAAAAAAAATTGAAAGAAGGAATGGTAAACAGCTATTATAAAGATTTATAAATATAAATAGGATAATCTTAAATGTTTGTATATTGAAAATATTAAAAACCAAAAAAATAGACAAATTTTGACTTATAATGATTTAGTTAATTTTAAATGTTTTGAAGTTGAAAATATTTAATTTTTAAAAATATTCAGATTTTGACTTATGATGGTAACGGTAAGTTAAGTCCAGAAATGGATCCTGATACATTGTGATGTACATGTAATTATTATATTATGTTTTTAAATTTTGTAAGAATTTCTTTTTCTTAACTCTTTTCAGAAAAGACTCCAAAGAGAATACAAAGGACAGGAAAGGTTCCTCAAGCAGTGACAGTACTGAGGCACATGGTGCATCTCCTCAGCCAAAACCCACCAAATCAAGTGTTGAGCCTAAGACAAATGGTAACCATACAACTCCAAAACGAGATCTGACAGCACCAACAAAGAGTAGCTCGGCGAAGGTGAAACCTGTAGCTCCAAAGAAGCCATTACCGACACCTCACAAAACTGAACCTGTTAAAAAGACTGAGAAATCATTGAAAAACGGCTCGGGTAAAAAGAAAACAAGCTCGTCAGAATCTTTACAGGAATCTGAGTCCAAGTCAAACAAGGAGAAGACCATTCCACCAGAGGACAAAGTGGTGGACGACGTGTCAGTCAATGGTAAAACACAGAAGTCTGCTCCGAAGTCAGACTCTCTCAGTCCTCAAAAGTCGACTCCACCAGCAGACGCAACAAGTTCTCAAACCAGTTCTACCAATGATGACCGCCCAGGTGACCATTCAATAACACCTGGAGAAACAGTCGACCAATCAGTAGCCTCCTCTCATCACCCCTCTGTTGCTGCCGCTGATACCACACGCAGTATGGCTTCCTGTGACCCTCACACCATTGCTGGCATCAACCCAGAGACTACTGAACGCATGATAATTAGTAAGGGCAAGGTCAAGTACATCAACTTAATCTACAAGAAGGTTGAGGCCAAGATTTATGACTACAAGTGTGACGTTAAACTCCTGGTTGGGAAGGAACATTTCCGTGCTCATCGAGATGTTCTTTCAGATGCGAGTGACTATTTTGGTGCAATGTTCTCGCACGATATGAAGGAGAAAGGACAGGACACTATAGAACTGAAGGAAATCAGTCCCAAGGGCATTACTGTGATGCTTGACTACTTTTACCATGGATACATCACCGTGGATACCACTAACATTGAAGACATCATAGAAGCTGCACGCTTCTTCCATGTCGAGTGGATATTGGAGGTTAGCTGTGATTTTCTGGTCCAGTGTATGAGCATTGTAAACTACCCTGCCGTTCTCACAATGACCGATAAATACACTCTTGGTGACCTGCGATATGAAATCCTTGTGTTTTTCAGCCGTAATCTAGAAGCCTTGTCTAAGGAAGATGACTTTTATACAAATTTGCCTTATGAACTTTTGTTACAGTTTCTCATGGATGATATCTATATTGAATGCTCTGAATATTTCTTGGTTCAGAACTTGTTGAAGTGGTTGGCAGTAGATCCAGTTGGGCGTAAGGACCAGTTTCAATCCCTTGTGAGGCAAATCCGCTTCTTTCTGATGGAGGCGGAAGAATTGGAGGCACTCCCTGAGGATGTGACCAAAATTGCAGGGTTGAAGGAGGAGATTAAAGAAGCCATTAATCACAATCTCAACATCATGGGTCAGTGTCTTAAATGTGGAGAGAAGTACATCCCCAGGGGCTGTAGATCTGTTGCCACCATCTTTTCCTTCTCAGAAGAAGGTTATTTCATTATTTACCGAGATCCATCCAAGCCTGGCCTCACCATGGAACAACTTGGACCCTGTGGATTGGACACCACAGACTACCAGGCAATGTCACAAGCAAAGATTGGTAACTTCCTGTATGCAGCTGGGGGTTATGATGAAAACTTCTCAAGTACGCCCCGAATGTTTCGGTTTGATCCCCGTTTCAGGGATTGGACGGAGGTAGCTCCCATGAATGAACCCCGTGTCTCTTTCTGCCTGTGTAGTTCTGACCATGACTTGTTTGCTGTTGGAGGTGTTCATCGTGTTCACATTGATGATGACAATGAACCGGAGACTATCCTTGACTCAGTAGAGATATACTGTCCACAAGACAACCAGTGGACCAACACGACCCCCATGCCCATCAAGGTGTTCGACATGGCTGCAGCCTATTACAACGGCTCTCTGTATGTCTGTGGCGGCATTAGTGCTGACCCACACCACCCCTGTCCCTTGGGGGCAGTCTATAGTCTCAAGGTAGGTGGTGATGATGGGTGGGTCAAGCGTACAGACATGATAACTCGTCGTCAAGGACACAGTCTAACTCCCTACAAAGGAAAACTCTATGCCATAGGAGGTTACAGCATGCCTGAAACTCATTTCAGTGAGTGTTACGAGAATGAAGTGTACGACATAGAAACCAATCAATGGACTCAGTTTACCCCCATACCGATCGAGTACGGCCACCTGTATCGTCATAATGGCATCCTGAACGGGGTCATCTTCTTTCTTGGAGGAGACACCCCTGAAGCATTTCTGTACATGTATGACATAGACGCTGACCAGTGGGAGGAGGTAGAACATGTGGGAAGTAACGTCCAGAAACTCGCAGTGCTGGATGTGGCTTACCCATAAACCAACACTAGACGTCATGGCATGAGAGTCCACCCAGTATCGCTACTAATACTGTACAGTTGATCCACTCACACCAATATGAATACATACGTGTTACCTACCCTGCCATTCCAGCTAGGGGTGCTCCTACTGTAGGAGGGAACTTACAGTACAAGACAAGACATGACAAGACAAGACATGGCAGTTGAATGAATATCCAGAAACTAGTCGCGCTGGATGTGGCTTATCGATAAACCCACACCTGTCATCATTTCAACAAATGGAGAGCTCTTTTGTTTTTATCTACAAGACCTTCTTGTCAGCAATTTTAATGTCTTCTCAAAATGGCATTCAGTATGCAATGCAATGGCGTAAAAGTGACAACTTTTTTGGTCTGATTGATTCTGTATACAAGAAAATGCTGTAAAGTATTTGGATCTGACTGGTTAGCATTGATAGTCTCTATTAGCTTATGGCTTTTTCTGCACAAATAAAAATTGAGTTTTATATACAAATTACACTGCTAAAGGGCCTGTCACACACTGCTGATGTACCTCACGGGGACTAAACCGGAGCAAAATATTAACAGCGAGAAAACTAACGATGAACTACCGATCTTATCGATGTGGTACCATTGCGCTGCGCTACTAGTACCAATTCCGGGAAATCACCAAACTTGTGCTCCGGTATAGCTCCGGCAACCAAATCGGCTAGTTGTGACAGGGCCTTAAATGATAAAATATCTGCCAGACAATTGCCATATTAACTTATAAACTGTAGGTTAGGATAAAACATCTTAGTAGTTGTATACAGATATGCTAAGTAAACTAATATCTATAAATTCTGTCTATTATCTTTCAAACCATCTAATACAGCTATATCTTTTATGGACAGGAAAGATTGTATGGGAGGATTGTAAGGCTAGACAGTGTACGTTTGTGTTTTGCGAGTCACTGGCATGGCTCGTATCTATAGTCATAAGTCTAACAGGTTGTTACACCTCAAGCCATTTTTGTTTTTGTGTGGAAGCTTTCTGTAAGCTTGTATGTGTGACTGAGAGGTTGAGTTCAACTTTGTTCATCTGAAAAATTGAGATGTTTCCTACCATTAGGGTTCTATCCCTCCAGTCACCTGGGTTTAGTCACGGACTATCTACAGTAAATGTGTCAGTCTGGAGATCTCTGACTGTGATGGCCTTTCCTTTCTGTCAAGTTAAATGCATATTCAATGTTATCTGAATTTATATAAATGTACAATGTATGTTTTAAGAATCTATACCCAATATTTTTGTATGGTTTATACTTCTGTATACACTGTTTGTTTAAAACATCTATAAACAATGTTTTTGTTTTAAACAACAGTTGATAGCTTTTGCCTTCCACATCATTATACAATGTATGTTTTCAAACAGCTATTGAGTTAACAAAGTATGTTTACAACAACTAGCTACAATGTATGTTTACAACAACAAGTTACAATGTATGTTTACAACAACTAGCTACAATGTATGTTTACAACAACAAGTTACAATGTATGTTTTCTACAGTGTTTAGTTTCAAAATACAAAAACTGTACCTGCATGTGGTTTAACATTCGTTAGATATGCTAATGTTTTTAACATCGGTATAAATGTTAATTTCAAATTGTAATAAACTAGTCCAGATTTTTAACATCCACTACAACTCACATTCTGTTAAATATTGTCAAATAACATAAAAGTGTATGAGCTAACATGTGCTACAGTTAATTAGTTGTTATTTTTGCTCAATTTTCATTGGACGAAAGATATTGTAAGAGATTTATTATTAAGCAATTTTTGAAGCAAATGCAATATAGGGTTGATAAGTAAGGAGTTGATGTATAGAATGTCTGTGCCAACAGAGATGTGTCTGTTAGATGGCTTAACTCGAACAATTTTATGAGTTCAAAGTTTCATTTCCAAAAATGTATGACCACCACAAGGTATTTCAACCCAATGTATCATCATTAAAAACTGAGTTCAGTCATATGTATGAATGTTTGCTTGCTTTACATGTAGAATCTCGTCGCATTTTATTTTAGATGTATTTTATTAACCGTTTATAAATGCGTTCACCTTTTAGTTCACGTTTATTCCAATGCTAATGCTTTTTAGTTGGTACATATATTTATGTAAATTAGTATTAATTTTGATTTTAGCTGTACTTTAACTTCCTGTTGATACATAAAGAATATACATGATTATTGATTTACATTCCATGCCTTTAACATGAAGATGTACATGCAATCTGTATGATTTAGCTTTTGTTCGAGTTGTTGATTGTTGTGGAGGGATCAATATATATTTGTATATTTACCAGACAGAACAAAAAATGTATGTTATTTTTAGTAAGTAAGACAAGTATATACAATAAAACGTGTTTATAACTTTGAAGTCTTAGGGTAATGATCACAAATCTAAAACGTCATGTCCTACACCGTTGTGTTGATCACTTTTTGGATTGTTGTATCAATTATCAATAAAAAAATCCCGTTTCTATAGTCCTGTCATTCTGATATTTCCTTGGATTTCAAAACTTTTGAATGAGTAATGTCCCTCAATAAAAATAAAAGCCTGTTATCAGAATCATGTTATAAACCTGTTTTACTGTACTGTATGTAGGTTGTGAAATGGATAATCATGTTTGGAGTGTACACTAATTATCTGCAAGAGTTTATCCTCATTTCTTGGTGTTTAACGTAGTTCTCACAAAAATGTCCTTTATATAAACTAAATCTTGCCAATTGTGTTTCTGCGTTTCCTATTTTCTTTATTGTTTTCTATCTACGGTATAGTGATTATAAAAATGTATTTATGTACATTATATTAATGCTGTGTATTTGATACACTAATCAAACATTTTCTTTGAACATTTCACTTGTGCAGATTATCATTTATATATTGTTTGGCAATTTATTGTCCGTTTATTCTTGAAATTCCACACTTCAGTGAAATTGATTTTCAAGTAGACCACCACACGGGGTGGTCAGATTGTATAGACATTGTCTAGTGGACCACCACACGGGGTGGTCAGATTGTATAGACATTGTCTAGTAGACCACCACACTGGGTGGTCAGATTGTATAGACATTGTCTAGTAGACCACCACACGGGGTGGTCAGATTGTATAGACATTGTCTAGTAGACCACCACACTTGATGATCTGATTGTATAGACATTGTCTAGTAGACCACCACACTGGGTGGTCAGATTGTATAGACATTGTCTAGTAGACCATCACACTTGATGATCTGATTGCATAGACATTGTCTAGTAGACCATCACACTTGATTATCTGATTGTATAGACATTGTCTAGTAGACCATCGCACTTGATGATCTGATTGTATAGACATTGTCTAGTTGACCATCACACTTGATGATCTGATTGTATAGCCATTGTCTAGTAGACCATCACCCTTGATGATCTGATTGTATAGACATTGTCTAGTAGACCATCACACTTGATTATCAGATTGCAAAGTTGATAGTTCATTCACCTTTCACCAAGTTGGCCTTGGTTCAATTCCTTGATATGACTTTGGTCACCTACTTTATGGCGTTGGTTATTTTTGTTCTAGGTAATCCAGTTTCCTCCTACATTTACTCTTTTTGAGCTTTCATTCAAGCCATCGAAAGTGATTAATATATATAAATTTGAAAAATTTGATTCATGATTGTTGTAAAATAAATAAAGCTTATGTCTTTATTTGTAGTAGATCACTGTCATGGTACAATGTCCAGAAGACCATCGGACAGAAGTGACTATTTTCACCAAAGCACCCAGAGAATTTGTTCCGGGAAAATAGCTTGACACTGTAAAATTAAAGCACTGTACGTTTCATGTCTCTGTGGAGATAAATATCAGTTGATATCTGACAATGTATTACTACAGAATGACCTACCTTTACCTGTTTGTAGCCTCGAAAATTACACCAGAGAGGAGGCTGGTAAATGTTCTATCTGTGTACTGTGTGGTTTATATGTTGTATTTACTTCTAATTAATTATGTAAGTGCCTGACAGAGCAAAAATGTCTAGAAAAAGTGGTAGGGAAAGTCTCTTTGCCCTTCAAGCAGTTGTCTGTAAGGAGGTGGAGTCTCTTTGCCCTTAAAGCAGTTGTCTGTAAGGAGGTGGAGTCTCCTTGCCCTTAAAGCAGTTGTCTGTGAGGAGGTGGAGTCTCCTTGCCCTTAAAGCAGTTGTCTGTAAGGAGGTGGAGTCTCTTTGCCCTTAAAGCAGTTGTCTGTAAGGAGGTGGAGTCTCCTTGCCCTTAAAGCAGTTGTCTGTGAGGAGGTGCTAGTGGCCAGGTACAGAAAGGTTTGGTCGGTTTGTGCTGTACGTCCATTTAACATCTATGGTCGTTTAAGGACAAGCAAGGTTTTGGTGGTAGAGGAAAACCAGAGTACCTGGAGAAACTCCACCAACCTGTGGCCAGTACCTGGAGAAACTCCATCAACCTGTGGCCAGTACGTGGAGTTTCTCCACCAACCTGTGGCCAGTACCTGGAGAACTCCACCAACCTGTGGCCAGTACCTGGAGAAACTCCACCAACCTGTGGCCAGTACCTGATGACTGCCCCTCTTTGGCTACCACATACCCAAAAGACTGCTGAGGGTTGAATGTACAATGAAGGCAGGGAATGATTATTTTTCTCCCACCCTTAAAAAGGATGATTAGACGAAAAATAATACTTTCTTTGTATGCCAACTGCTCATGATCAGCTTGATGAAATCACATGATGAAATGTTTTCATGGTGATACCACAAGCATGTATAGCTCGTCTATACCCGGGGGGGGGGGGGGGGGGGGGAAAAAAAANTCACTAGAGTGAGAGTCATATCGATGAAGAGTAGGAAAATCAAACTTTATTAGTACTACAGATTAACTCATTCACCCCTGAAGACACATTTGAACTCTTCCAATTCAAAGGTTGGAATAGTCCATTATGATATTTTCAGAGGTGAATGAGTTGATGACATGTTGTTATACAGCTAGAGCTGAAATGATTTTGGTATCCAAACATTTGTTGTATTCGTATAATACAAATTGGCCTGTCGGACATCTCCGCAGTCCTAAGGCAGATGTTTAGAAGACTTGCATTACCAGATAGACATCGACAGTGTTCCAAGTGCAATTGATGAGAAACACAACCTAAGAATGAGATTAAGACTGGACCTCCTGTCCTGCAGTGTTTGCCTTACATTGTCTGTATTATTAAATCAGTGATATAAATGTACATCACATATATTTTATTTAAAGCCTGATTTGCTTAAAAAATAAACTTATACAAAAGCTTCTATTTCTTGACTTGTTGATTATGTATAGTTTTGTTCCAAATAAATTGATCGGGAATTTACTTCTGACTTTTACAAATTGATCATGATATGTTATGATTGAACATACATGTAGATTGACTATAACATGAAAGTTGTAAAGAGTTCTTACGATTTGTAGTGAACCAGAAACTGATTGATTTTTACCATAAACTGCATTCAAACAACATTTCTACATACCTGCTAAATGACCCGCATCTTGCGGGTCACACCCGCAAAATTAACCTATCACCCGCGACCAACTCATCACCCGCGCGGGTCATACAAATCTCCCGCATTCCATCCACATGACCCGGTATGTCGAACACAAAGTATGGCAACCAAAAACATTCATGTTGCTCATTTAAGTTTGGAAAACTGCTAAGATTTTTTATTTGGAAACTTTTTTTATAACTGTCAACACATAAAATCAACACTATAAATCGGATTGAATCTTTTTAATTATAAACCACAAGTTCTTACCGGTATAGGAAATTATTTGAACTACAAAATAAGATTTTATCAAGGATAAAAAGTGATTTTCACTATACTCCATGTAGTTCTCAAGCATAATATACTCCACCAGATTCCAGTATCTGTACACAGAAGATCTATACAAAACTCATCATTAGATCACCGGCTGGTAATTCATGTATAGAAACATATTAGTAACACTGAGGAGACTGGTTCCACATCTTCCACATATTTTCCTCCTATTTTTTCCAAGTAATACCTGTGTAGAATGTTTTCATGTACACAAATATCGCTGCACAGTAATGTATAAAACACCTCTACACAAGGGTTGGTTCGATAAGGAAGCTGTGTAGTGGTTAAATGTCCAGCATCAACCACTATATATGGACAGACTGTTTTTGCGTAACATCCAGTATCAACTACTTACATAACAAACTCCCATTATAGAAACCATAGTGTCCCTTGGATAGAACAAATCACAGTATAGTAGAACAGCCTCAATCTGGACCTCTAACTGACAAGCTACGCCACTATATATATTTCAATGCCATTTCATCACACTTTGATATTCAAGTCTTTTCATCTTCGTTGCCTGATGATGGTTCTAATTCTACAATCCCATTTTGTACCTGGCGATTTGTTCTGGCAGTTTTAAAGTTTTCCTCAGTCACTTCACCTATCTCAATGTCTGATGAATTCAAATCACATTCTGAGTCGGATTCACTCCCCATATCTGGTACTAGGGAAATATTCTGTAAAGATAACCAAACTTTAGACTGAATACAACATCGCTGTAGAGATCCAAGGAGACTTGTGTATATATAAGAGACTTGTGTATATATGAGAGACTTGTGTATATATGAGAGACTTGTGCATATATAAGAGACTTGTGTATATATAAGAGACTTGTGTATATATAAGAGACTTGTGTATATATAAGAGACTTGTGTATATATAAGAGACTTGTGTATATATAAGAGACTTGTGTATATATAAGAGACTTGTGTATATATAAGAGACTTGTGTATATATAAGAGACTTGTGTATATATAAGAGACTTGTGTATATATAAGAGACTTGTGTATATATAAGAGACTTGTGTATATATAAGAGACTTGTGTATATATAAGAGACTTGTGTATATATAAGAGACTTGTGTATATATAAGAGACTTGTGTATATATAAGAGACTTGTGTATATATAAGAGACTTGTGTATATATAAGAGACTTGTGTATATATAAGAGACTTGTGTATATATAAGAGACTTGTGTATATATAAGAGACTTGTGTATATATAAGAGACTTGTGTATATATAAGAGACTTGTGTATATATAAGAGACTTGTGTATATATAAGAGACTTGTGTATATATAAGAGACTTGTGTATATATAAGAGACTTGTGTATATATAAGAGACTTGTGTATATATAAGAGACTTGTGTATATATAAGAGACTTGTGTATATATAAGAGACTTGTGTATATATAAGAGACTTGTGTATATATGAGAGACTTGTGTATATATAAGAGACTTGTGTATATATAAGAGACTTGTGTATATATAAGAGACTTGTGTATATATAAGAGACTTGTGTATATATAAGAGACTTGTGTATATATAAGAGACTTGTGTATATATAAGAGACTTGTGTATATATAAGAGACTTGTGTATATATAAGAGACTTGTGTATATATAAGAGACTTGTGTATATATAAGAGACTTGTGTATATATAAGAGACTTGTGTATATATAAGAGACTTGTGTATATATAAGAGACTTGTGTATATATAAGAGACTTGTGTATATATAAGAGACTTGTGTATATATAAGAGACTTGTGTATATATAAGAGACTTGTGTATATATAAGAGACTTGTGTATATATAAGAGACTTGTGTATATATAAGAGACTTGTGTATATATAAGAGACTTGTGTATATATAAGAGACTTGTGTATATATAAGAGACTTGTGTATATATAAGAGACTTGTGTATATATAAGAGACTTGTGTATATATAAGAGACTTGTGTATATATAAGAGACTTGTGTATATATAAGAGACTTGTGTATATATAAGAGACTTGTGTATATATAAGAGACTTGTGTATATATAAGAGACTTGTGTATATATAAGAGACTTGTGTATATATAAGAGACTTGTGTATATATAAGAGACTTGTGTATATATAAGAGACTTGTGTATATATAAGAGACTTGTGTATATATAAGAGACTTGTGTATATATAAGAGACTTGTGTATATATAAGAGACTTGTGTATATATAAGAGACTTGTGTATATATAAGAGACTTGTGTATATATAAGAGACTTGTGTATATATAAGAGACTTGTGTATATATAAGAGACTTGTGTATATATAAGAGACTTGTGTATATATAAGAGACTTGTGTATATATAAGAGACTTGTGTATATATAAGAGACTTGTGTATATATAAGAGACTTGTGTATATATAAGAGACTTGTGTATATATAAGAGACTTGTGTATATATAAGAGACTTGTGTATATATAAGAGACTTGTGTATATATAAGAGACTTGTGTATATATAAGAGACTTGTGTATATATAAGAGACTTGTGTATATATAAGAGACTTGTGTATATATAAGAGACTTGTGTATATATAAGAGACTTGTGTATATATAAGAGACTTGTGTATATATAAGAGACTTGTGTATATATAAGAGACTTGTGTATATATAAGAGACTTGTGTATATATAAGAGACTTGTGTATATATAAGAGACTTGTGTATATATAAGAGACTTGTGTATATATAAGAGACTTGTGTATATATAAGAGACTTGTGTATATATAAGAGACTTGTGTATATGTAAGAGACTTGTGTATATATGAGAGACTTGTGTATATATAAGAGACTTGTGTATATATAAGAGACTTGTGTATATATAAGAGACGTGTGTATATATAAGAGACTTGTGTATATATAAGAGACTTGTGGTTATGTAAGAGACTTGTGTATATATGAGAGACTTGTGTATATATAAGAGACTTGTGTATACATGAGAGACTTGTAAATATAAAAGAGACTTGTGTATATATAAGAGACTTGTGGATATATGAGAGACTTGTGTATATATAACAGACTTGTGTATATATAAGAGATTTGTATATATATAAGAGACTTGTGTATATATAAGAGACTTGTGTATATATGAGAGACTTGTGTATATATAACAGACTTGTGTATATATAAGAGATTTGTATATATATAAGAGATTTGTATATATATAAGAGACTTGTGTATATATAAGAGACTTGTGTATACATGAGAGACTTGTAAATATATAAGAGACTTGTGTATATATAAGAGACTTGTGTATATATAAGAGACTTGTGTATACATGAGAGACTTGTGTATATATATGAGACTTGTGTATAATAAGAGATTTGTATATATATAATAGACTTGTGTATATATCAGAGACTTGTATATATATAAGAGACTTGTGTATATATAAGGCTAGTTACTTTCAGTTATCTTCATTATCAGTATACTCACAGTTAGTGATGGGCTGATGTTTGATTATAATAAAAAATAAACTGTTTGCCCTTTCAAATTCTGATTATCGATTACAAGTTTCATAATAGATATAACTGATTCATTACTGAACACTATTGTCAAATGTATCCAACCTGTACAGTAATGTATGCATTGAAAATATTCATTTTGTGGATTTTTATTAAATGATTGATATCAATGCTGATTTTTTTCTAAAACTTTGTTCAAGTTGTCGGTTAACACATTTTTTTTTTTTTTTAAGGAACCCTATCTATGTAACAAGTGTGTTGTCACTTTAGTTGGGTAATTAGTCCAATTAAATTATAAACTGATTGTGAAATCAATCATGAATCAGTTTACTACTTCCAATTACAAATAGATAAAGATTTAAAACTGGCCATCACTACTCACCATCTCTATGACCTTCTCCGTGTCCTCTGACACACTCTCTATGTCCACCATACTGGCAGGTACCCTCGTAAGCAGGCTGGTCAGGTCCTCGTTAGCCTTCGCTATCTTTGGCAAGAAACTTTTTACATCAGATAAAACTGAAAACAGGGAAGAAAGACATGAGCAAATAATATTCCCACCCCTGGGTATTTAAGTAAAGTGTAGAAAGGCTCTGCTTCAACGTTTTCAATTCCTGCCAATTGGAGTATTCCCCCTTGTACACAGAAACTGAAGGATTTTTTTAATGGGTAATTAAGATTTCCCTGGGGAAATATCCATCTTTCATTCTGATACTGTGTATTCATGGCAAGCCATTTTAACATTTAATAATATTTCATCTTAGGTAAATCATATTTTAAATTTATTTCACTTAAGTGAAATCGTTTTTACCTTAAGGTAATTAAACAGATTTTATTTTGCATTATGTATTATTTCACTTTTACAAATCCTAGATAGCAACATGGGTAAAGTGTAGGATCAGCAGTACAAGAGAAATAAAATTGTTACCTGGAAATTGATTCTCTGTTTATATACTTGCCAACATTTTGAAAATGCCATGGGGGAGATAACACATGGGGGAGATTACACATAGGGGAGACTACACATGGGGGAGGTTACACATGGGGGAGATTACACACGGGGAGATTACACATGGGGGAGGTTACACATGGGGGAGGTTACACATGGGGAGATTACACATGGGGGAGATTACACATGGGGGAGATTACACATGGGGAAGGTTACACATGGGGGGCGATTACACATGGGGGAGGTTACACATGGGGAAGGTTACACATGGGGGACGATTACACATGGGGGAGGTTACACATGGGGGAGATTACACATGGGGGAGGTTACACATGGGGGAGATTACACATGGGGGCGATTACACATGGGGGCGGTTACACATGGGGGAGGTTACACATTTGGGGAGGTTACACATGGGGGAGGATACACATGGGGGAGGTTACACATGGGGGAGATTACACATG